TCTCATTTGAGTAAAATTTGGTACATAAATGCTCTAGGACAATAAACAGCCTGATTAATTTTGAGTTAAAATCTGTTATATTAATTCTCTAATTAGTATAATAATTAATAATTTTTTTGTTCTAATCACAGTTCAATGAAACTTGGTACATAGCTGTTACATTGTCCAGACCTTATTAGTTTTAAACTTAAATCTGTTCATATTAGTTACCTTATTTGTATAAGCTTTTCCATCAATATCTCAAGTTCAAGTAATTTTTAATTAATTTTTAATGTGTCTCCAATACTCTCAGCACACGGGAGTTCTTTCTAAGCTTTCTTTGATTGTGATATGAAATGTAGTTTCTCCAAATTAACATTATGCTTGTACAAGTCTATATTCGATATAGTGGTAATTTTGCACTCTGTTGCAAATCATTGCAAATGCAAAAGATATCGAACAACCTTATTGTTTCTGCATTGTGTTGTGATCATTGTTTATTTTTAATGTTAGTGTATCATTGTATCAATGTTTTATTGATCTCCTTTGATTTTGCTCAAAAAGTTTTCAGAATAAGATTGCGCAAACCAGAGTTTGGCCAGTTGAGATAATGAGAACTCCTGTTCCAACAGCTTCCAAAGGCAAGGGTAAAACAGTAAGTTTTTCCACTAATGATGCATGTGTCATTTTATATATTGAATCATATTTACAGAAAACTTATTATTTTATTTATGATATGTAATTGTATAAATTATAATAATATCCCTAGTACGTTCCCAATCTTGATCTGTTTGTTAGCTTGCATAATTTTATTATTTATATACATTGAATTCATACTAATTTATTATTTGCTTTGCCTCATTTTTTTATGTTTTATTTAGGGCAGCGCAACTGCACGCGTAAGTGACTCTTTCCCATGAAGCTTTAGGATCACTTTGCACTGCTATTAGTGTTATTTTATTGTTATACACATTCAATGCACGGGCACATAATTTATTCATACCTATTCATCAATATTTATTGATTTCATTTTATTTTTAATGACAGTTCTTCAAATATATTAATTATTTACTGAATTTGTTCATAATTGATTCCCGTTTCCTCTCTTTATATGTCTGGTACATTTCAATTGAATTATACTATAATAACCCTTTGCTATTAAAAGGCTAAAACATATTTAAAGCTCTCAGTTTCATCTCCATGGCTTACATGGTCCTGGTTATGTAAGTTCTGTTCTGTCTGCCTTGAAGACAGCTTAGTGGTATATTTGATGTACAACTTATTCCGGGGTTGGGTTGCGTGCCTTTTGAGTACTGTGTTCACGACTTGCTTTTTGTGTGTAATACCTTTTCTTGCATTTTCTCTACTTTCAGTTATGGAGTTTATTGTTTTGATTGAGCTTCCAAGCATTTTTAAAAATTTTGTTATTATTAATTATTATATAGGAAGACGATCATCAAATTTATTTTCATGGTGTGGCATATGTAAATTTGGCTCCATTACTCTACCCTGGAGGTATGTTTGACTCCATATTGTACATTTATTTCTATCTTTACCCTGTCATGAGTTATTTAATTATATTTACGTAACACTGCTGGAAAAACAAATCTCTCATTCATATGTTTCTGTTACAGTTAAAAAGATTCGTGGTGCATATAAAATCATGGCTTTCAGTGATCAAGAAATATTTGAAAAGGTCAGTATATTTATTATATTTCTGCTGATCAATTTGCCCCATGATAAAACAGTTTAAAAATGGTCAGAAATAATTCAAGGATTTGTTTTTGAGAAAAAATCAGTAAACCTATACAGGATTTGACCTGTTTTAGTAATATGATGTTACTAAATATTGAATACCATATTTCCTGTCAAGTACAGATATGTATGTTTGCATGCAGATGAGTGCATTCACAGTTATTTGTGATGACTTAAAAAATTGCAATTTATACGCATTACTAGCCTTACTGTAATCAAAATAATCAAAAATGTGACTGTGAACAGCAAAATGTGATATCAAAATGTGATATCAAAATCTGATTTGTTGATTCTCTGCAGGTTAAATTGACATTATGCTATGGAAGACTGAACAATTCATGTGTACCATCTGATTAGTTTCATCATGTATCTGATAAGATAACCAATCTGATTTTGAATAGTATCTGAAAGGCCACAATGTTATTCAAAAAACACAACACAAATCTCTAACACTTAAAAATATTGGCATTATAGATGCCATCACTGACCATTATTTCAACAAAAGACTAGTTTTGAGCTGCCCCTTACTGAGTACATGCCAGTGTCAAATAAGAGAGGCAGATTTATTAACCAGATTTTTATGGCTGTTGGCCCTCTGTCACTTTATCCTGTGTACAGGACACAGCTGTGTGCATAACTAAACAAGTATGTAAAGTAACATTTCATTAATTTCAACCTTACTAGATGAATTTAATTCTTGTAAATGTAATAAAAATGTTTCTTGGAATGAGCAAACACATTTTAACTGCAGAGCTGTTGCATATTGAACCTTGACCAGTCTGTCATTCTGATTCTATATGTACATGTATGTGGTATAAAATGTTACTTTTTCTTACAGTACATGAGCTGTGTTTTATTCCATGTAATGAGCCACAATAATGTTTGTGATATCAAATGAATTAAAATCTAAGGATGTTGATACTATGCATATGTGGCACATGTAATACTGGAAAATTATTTGTTGGTCTTCTAAATATTTTCATGCCATTATCATAAACATTTACCACCATGTTTTTCTTCACTTGGTTCCACAATGGCAATTTGGGCTCAGTATTACACAAATTAAAAATTATAACAAAATTGGTGAATTTAACTTTAGTGGTCTAATTGTAATAAAATAATAACTTTTGCAGCATTTGTTTATATATATAATCAATTTGGTGACATGAGTGACAGATAGGATCATAAACACATATGATATAGTTCTGTTCTCAGACAGTTGCTTTTTTATACATAGTATTTTGTCCATAAAATTACTTAAATCCAGAAACAGTTTTGTCATTGCTTTTTTTTTCCTGGGCGTTAAATATTAATTTCTGTAGATTCCATGGGTAGAACGGTGGCAACATTGGGAAGAGTATGCGGTATGTACAATGAGACATGCAGTCAGGCATGCAGTCATACAACATGTGCATGGGTTATGCTTAAATTGGAAAACAAATCTGCATGCATGTATAATGTTTTATTGAATACAAGTAATGTAACTTGATATTTTGATTCTGACATTATGGGTCTGAAACATCCTGATACTTATTGCTCTTCTTAACTCTAATTCCAGTTTTCTTATGTTTTGATCACTGAAATACAAATTTTCACTTTTTTTTTCTTTTAATCTTGTTCACCACAAGTTGCTTTGAAATAATCTGGTCTTATAATAAAAACTTCTGTACCTAGGTTTCAGTATATATTATTTCAATATCAGTTGTATCAATTGTTTCTGACCCAAGTGTTGTATTTAAATCACCTTAAAATAAGGTAATATGTTTGATTTATGCATAATAAATTTGTGGATTGTTTGAACTGAGTGTTTTTATGAATAAAAATAAAGTAAGAAAATTTTGGAGCACAATTTTCTTGCTTACACCAACTAAATAGAAGAACAAGTGTGTAGTATATAGCTCAGCAAGCGGACTTCATATTCATAAAAAGTTACATTTAATAAAAGTTCAGTCCAGATCAAAACATGCTTTTATGTACATGACATGTTCATGTGGCTATTCATTGCTAGCTCAGAATTAATGTTAGCTACTGTGCATACAGGCAAGTATGTGTTAAGTAGACTCACATTAAGTTATCTTGTGGCCCACAATTTATTGTAAAATATATTGACTGATTGGTTATTTTCTCTATTTGCATGTTACATTATGCTCATGAGAGGCAGTTTTGATCTGTACTGTATTCACATATTTAAAATTGGAATGTACGCAGTAAAAGATTTTGATAATTTGTGATACGCATGTGATATGCTCAGGCATGTTATATTATTCTCATGTCATCTCATTTCTATATGTGCTATGTATAATTACGTCATTTTCTTCACAGATTTCTCAGTACATCTCATGTGTGTACATATTTTGCTCTTTTTTTTGCTACAACTTTCTTACAGGCATGGTTCGCATGTAGGTTGCATGTCTGTTGCCACTACTTGTATGGTGTTAATTTTCATGTCTTCATTTCATGTTTCAGACTAAACGCAAAGGTGGTCTTGCTGAGGAGGCTGTTCGTGTTGCTACGTCTATGAATAGAAATGCTTCACCATTCATGAAGGGTGGTAAGGCAGCTAAAGAAGATAAACCAGGCAAAGAAAAAGATAACAAGAAGGTATCTTAACCTCTTCTGTTTCTCCAACTCTCTCAGTATATTATAAATGAATTGCCTATTAAATGTGGATGTTGACTTTTTACGATACATGGTACCTTAAATACTTTCTAAATTTTGCTGCAATAATGTCTAATGCAGTGATGCTCTAATTTATATTGATTTGTGTTATTTTACATATTCACAGCAACAGCCATCATCCATGCTCAAACCCACATCAGATACAGGTTCTGAAACTGATGTTTTACCACCACAAAATGTTGAGGGCATGATGTATGTTGAAGCTAAGTCATATCTTATGCTAGAGATCACCCTACACAGACCATTGGTACCCAAGAGAGCTCCAGAAATATTGGCAAAAAAGTAAGTAGAAAACATGATATGATTCCAAGTGGGTCACTATATTTTTGCAATCACATAAATTGTATTATTAATTATTCATCTGCTAATGAAAACAGTTGAATTCATTCATTCATAAAACACTGTACAGATGTGTTCAAATGTCTTCATTATTTTGAAAATGTGCATCATGCTTACATCACATTCGAACAGTTTACATCGGACACAGCAACAATTCCATGCATGACTTAAATAGCAATTGCAATTGGGCAGTCAAACTTTTTGCTTGCATTTTGGGGCTGTTATATCTCAGTAAATAATGAGTACAGTACAAGCAGGCAAAGATTGCGACTACAATGCTGCAAATTGTGCACTCAGTTGATACGATCACCATACTGACTTTGTGCAGACTTTGCAGTATTCATGTAATAATCTCATAACGTAATATTCATCATATTCTGTTTTACAAACGTTAATTATCAAAAAACAAATTTCTTTTTCAGAGTTGCTGAATTAATTCCACCTAGACCTTTATTTCCAAGAAGAACTAATGGTGCAGAGAGGGCTGTGGATGATTTCCATCATCAAATTGCAGGTGTTGGAAACCTGGTTCTTGAAGAGTTCAGGTATTGTAGCTATTTCATTGTGCACTTGACCAATTGCCAGCCCATCCATTGACTTATACCCCTAGGTTTGTTAAGCTACAGATTTTTTTTTCTTTTTATTTGCAGGTCATTGTTTTCAGATCAGTTAAAACTTGGTGAGCTGCCAAGTGGTACTGAACCATCTGATGAAAGAAGGCGTAAACTACTCTATGAACTAAATACTTCTGGGAAATATTTTGCATTTAAAGAACAGCTCAAGGTTGGTTGGTGACTTTCTGCCACCACTACCCAGGAACCCAGTCATTTCAGAATCTGTGAATAAGTGCATTAAACTGTGTGTGTTTCTAACTTCTTCTTAAATATACATTGTGTGGCGTTGTTTTTCATAAATTTCTGTTATATTCTTGTGTGGTGTTTCTTGTTTTGGGTTTATAAAATATGGTAGTATTCTGGTGAAAGTTCACTTTTGAATGTATTGCAGTCACCTCTTTGTTTGTGGTGTTTCTTTTTTGGGGGTTTTAAGCAATGGTAATATTCTAGTGAAAGTTCACTGTTTAAAGTATAGAAGTCACCTCTCTGTTTGTTTTTGTTTTATCTACTTGTGTGTGAAATATTAAATCACAAATAATATGCATATAAGCACTTAAATTAGTGACTCAGAAAGTGACTGGCTTCCAGGGTATTGCTGCAGATGTTTATATGGTCTCCCACCATGCTGAATAACTTGATCAGTCAGACGAAAGTCAGAAATTAATCTTGATGTGTTCTTGTGTAATGTTTATTTCTTTTTATTCATTCATTCACTGCTGTGAATACAATACAACTTCAAGTATAATTTTTTGAGAGGGGGTTGCGGGCATTTTTTGAACATCACCTTAATTTTAATCATTCTTGTAATTATAAGGGTTGTCCAATTTTACATTTACAATACAATCATGTTGATTTGTGGAGTTCTTGCCGAGAGGTTTGACACTGTAATGGTTCAACAGTAAAACAAATGTGTACTTTGTTTCACTGCTTGTGAAGCTCATAATGATACAAATCTTTACTTCTTAGAAGACCACCTCAATTATTCAAATAGTTTTCATGTATAAATCAAATTGATTCATTGTTTATTTAATTAAGATTTGTGATTTGCTTTCAAATTGGTTCTTACATCACGATATATGTAACAAAGTAAACACTAGTCCCTGTGATTTTAGTGTGTGTTTTATTTTCCTAAGGCAGGACAAAGTCAGGGGGCTTTGGAAATATTTAATTAAATGCAATCACTAAATTTTGTTTAAATTTGGTACAGAAGCAGTGCATATATATATTTTTATATTACTTTAATACAATATTCATGTTGTTTTTCTATTCCCAACTTGTGTTTTACACTTAGCATTCTGTTGTGAAAATTGTACGTGAGAAATATCTGAAAACAACATCATTTGATGACAAAGAAGAGCTGCAGACATTCCTGAGTCAGCTGTATGTGTTCCTAATAGATCAAATGCATGTAGGCCTGGGTCAGGTATTATCTTTGGAAGATGAGACTCCTGTCCCACCACCAATCACTGACAATTCACAGCTCAAGCATTTTGCTAGGGAAGCTGAAGTCAACGAAAACTTTGAACTTGCGTCAAAGTACTATCAAGAGGTGGGTTTAATATTTTCCTGAACATGCCATGCATTTTTCATCATCTTGCCTTCCAGTTTCCTAATGTTACAATGTAACTAAATGTGATTTTTATATACTGCCAAGCATTGAGCATTATATAACTTCTTACCTTGCAGAGAATTGCTCGAAATAGAAATGATGCAGATGCTTGGTTTGACTATGGTACATTCTGTCTCTTAGTAGGAGATGCTGCCAAGGTATGTACACATCCCAACAATATTTTCCTTGCACATTGTAAATATCTTCTGTTTATTTCTTTAATACTTCATTGACTGTTTTCTTGTCCAGGCTGAAGAGTGTTTTAAGGAGACTGTGTCTATAAACCAACAACATGTATATGGATTATTGTTATATGGTATTGTATGTGCTATGGAAGAAAGGAATGATGTTGCTGAGACATTCTTTGAAGCTGCTACTAATGTGGATCCTAGTAGTACATTAGCATGGACATTACTAGGTAAGTTACTCATATAATTGTTATTGGTGATGTGTTAAATGAATAATAATTTTCTAAAAATGTGATGCATTTCTGTGTTCTAGACAGATTTCTGTGAAAATGATTTCCATTCATCATTGTATCAGTACTTTTACCTGTTTGTGCTCTCTGCTCTGTTCAAACAAGAACTTATTAAAAGACACATACATGTATTACAGACAAATTACCTATGGCTGTTGTGCTTTTTTCCATGCTGCTCCCCAACTCTGGAATCCCTTCCCATTGAAGTTAGACTTTCATCAAATATGAACATCTTCCAAAAAAACCTAAAAACTTGCATGTTTTGTGAAGCGCCTTAGAAGATTACATTGTGATGGATTCAGACACTATATCAATTTTTTATTTATTATTATTATTATTATTATTACTTGGAAGCAGGCCTGTAATTTTATCATAATCATTATTCATTTATTTTAGGTCTCTTCTATGATGGTGTAGAGAATGATATCCAAGCAGAATTTGCTTTCTTAGAAGCCAACAGAAAAAACATTGCTAATGCAGCAGCAAAGATGAAATCTTTACCACCTGATGAACTGTATAAAGAACATAGTGTCATTGAAGTGGAAGATGCTGAGAGAGAAAAATGTATGTATGAATACTTGTGTTGATGCTTCCCAATGTAATAGCATGGGATTAAAAACAAAACTGAGTTACACTTTGAAAAGAGTTACAATTTGATCTCAAAATCTTTGGTTATACCATTGGTTGAAAGTAGTAAATATTTTAGTTATCTGATAGCTTGTACAAACCATGCTTATTTTTGCATTCCACGATATTTGTTTATGTATTTGCAAGTATGAAACTTGATGCATACATGTAGGTGCTATTTAATAAACCATAGAATCATAAATTTTAATCAGACTGCTTCTACATTGTATGTTAAACATCCCAAAGAGTATAGTTACCTGTATATTAAAGACGGGCTTCTTGTTTAAAGCAAATCTTAAATGTTTAATTAATTTTACATATTCCCTATTTCTACTGCATATAGTTGATTATTGTTGGGTAAACTTATATGAAATGTATTATGCCAACAGTAAAAACACCAGCTACACCATCAGAAAGTGGAAAATCTCACAAATCTACATCTAAAGACAAAGCAGCAAGTGTGGCATCAGGCAAGAAAAAACTCTCAATTTCATCCAAAACAGGTAAGGTGTGCTTTGGCTTGGGAATGTTAACTAGAATGCACTGGAGGTAAGAATTATCTGCACTTGTGGGTATAAGGTGTGTTAACAAATCTATTGCTGCTATAATTGGATGTAATAGGGCTGTACCATTTTTAAAAATCTACTGGTGATGGTTTGTGGTTTCTGCAACACATTGATTATTGTACTGCATGTAGTAATATTGTTGTGTTTAAAAAAATATAGCATGGGTTAGGATATGTTAGCAAGTATGCTCTTCAAAGATTTTGTTCACCCTAAACCATGCTTTTCATCTCTATTTGAAAACTAATTTTATTTCAGTGAGGTCAAAATTGTTTGCAGTTTATTCAGAATTCTGAGATGGTGTTTTGTAAAAAAAGCATGGCAGTTTCATTTATAAGATAAATGTATTGATTATGAAGCTGAAGCTGTGATAATTGTTAATTAAGTAGCATAACTATTATCTGATGATGCCCCATGTGAATATCATCTAATTTGAAAAATTGAACGTACTCTCTAAGTTGCAGCCAGAGATAATGTATTGTGCTGTTTTAAAAATGAGACACAAAATACACCGATCTAAGTTTTGAACAATTTCAAACTCTTTATGGTATATGTAGCTTTAAATTGTGCAAGACTTTATTTTATGCATTTCTAGTTGCCCCAATTGTTTTTTTTTCTAGTGGAAAACACTAATAAATTGTGATTGTGATCTCAGAATAAATATTAAACCTTATTATAAAAAAGTATGGTACTGAATAATAAACTTTTTAACTACCGGTATTGTATTTATAACAACTGGAAATAATACCAAATAATCACCAAGTTTTTAAAAAAAATTTAGTTACGGATATGATGTTTTCATGAAAGCACAGTTTTGACCCATAAAGGAAAATGATATTGCTGTACTAATATCACTCAATTTATTTATAATTTAGCCTGTTTTAATTGATCCCAATGACTTTTCTTCCCAGATTCTTTGCACTCCTTTCCAATGGAAAAAGGTAACCAACTGCTATCCACCCCCACCCTCCTCCTGCATGGCGTATGGCGTGGATGTTTTTTGTTTCATGTTTGATCACGCTTTATGCTAATATGGTTTGTCTACACATACTTTTCTTATTCAGCCTGCTCTGTATTTTAGTGATTGTGCCTCTTTCAGTTAAACTAAATGTTTTTAGTGATTCCTGTTATCTGTTACGTAGTGTTCCAGAGACTTTAATTATGAAATAGTACTTAGGAAGCTATTGTGTGTAGTAGTGTTGTTTAATTCCACCATGTTTAAATCAGATTGCACATAAAATAAATAGTGAATGATAATTTGTATAACTTTTTTTATCAGATCATATAAATAACTTTCTCAAATTCAATTGTGAATTTCTCTGAAAAAAGGATAATGAAGTATTATGTAATTTCTGTTTTTAACCACATACTGCACTAGATATGAGCTAGAATAAGTATTCAAACTAGACTAATAGTGAAGAATCCCAATTTCAAATTTATTTACTTTGAATTATATTACCAGACTTCTAGAGTCAAGAAAATGTTTTTGTTGTCATTTTTTTAGTGCACATTAGGCTGCTTTTCTTACAGTTCTGTTTAAATTTATTACTACTTTATTATTACATTACCAGTAATAATAGCATATTTAGGTTATTCTTAGTGTATCACTAGTATTTATTTTATTTCCTCTGCCAAATATTTTATGTTTCTGCCTGTTTTTTTGGTTTGTTTGTAAGCATGCAGGTAAACTCAAAAAGTTATAGATTGGTTTTCATACAATTTTAGAAGTTACCTTTGACACAAGGTTGAACGCATTCAATTTTGGTGGAAATGTGCATCCAGTTTCCATAGAAATACTTTTAGGAATGATTTTTTGTTACAATTCCAAAGGTTATAGATAGATTCTCATGACATTTTTTAGAGAGATTGCCCCTCGAAAACAAGTACCAGTCAGTTTGAGTTTGGTTGAAATCTGGTTCTCATTGAAACAGTGTTTTTAATGACTACTCATCGCCAGATAACTAAAAAAAAAAAAAAAAAAATAAACTAATTTTCAGTTGTTTTTAAGAAGAGGTTTTCATTCAATCATAAATCTAGCAATTAGATTGTAGCAGAGATCTGGATCCAGTTGATATGGGGATTTTAAAATTAATCTTCACTATTGCCAGACAGATCGGGCCATTGTCTGATTTGTTGACTGAATAAACTATTCAAGACTCAATTAGGTCTTTCTTTTCAAAAATAAATTAGTGTGGTGAATGTGTTTTATCTAAAGAAGACATAATAATACTATAGAGTTGGGGTATTAGTGAGAATAAGTAATTTGTCTTTCTAGTGGAGGTTTGTGCTCTTGGAATGCTTTCTAGTTACTAGTGTCTTAGTGTAGTACTAGTATCAGATTAGTTTATTGCTGGTGTATTACTAGTATCATATTCATAGTACAGTTGAAACATATATGTACATGTTTTTGCATGACTTGCCAGTTCATTGTAAAACATTTCTATACTTTGTTCTCTTTCTCTACTTTTTGTATTTGTTTCGCCTCTCAGTTGCAGCATCTCCCAGGAAAATAGCAAGATTCCTGAAAAGTAACTTAGTGCATGGCTTGTGCTTGGCTTAACTTTACCATGTGCTACATATATCTAGATCTCCATTTGTTGTCGTGTTCAGATCATCTAGTATAAGCGATTAACTACGCTTTTTGATTGGCAGGCTGCAGCCTTTTAATTGGCAGGCTGGTGTTGCATGGCTTTGTTGATGAATTTCACATCACTTACCAGTACATGTGTGTAATCCCATTCTCTCACCTTGATTTGAGTGTCATTATGTATCTGATAATTGTCCTTCTCTACATTATAGCTCCAGAAGGTGTCCAGAGGAAACAGAGTGCCCAGAGTAACAGAGCAGCAAGTCAAGTTGCTGATGGTAGTAGACAGCCTACACCAACAGGAGAAGAAGATATACCACCCAGAGAACCTACACCAGTACCAGATACAAGTGTTTTTATGATTGCTGTGGATTTCTTGCTGGAAGTGAAAGCACATCAGGTATGCTAGCAACCATTATTACCAAATCCTGTACTGCTATAGTGAGCAATAAAGAACAAGAGAAGCTAACTTTGTATAATATTATTTGAATGCCTAATCTTTCCTAGCATGTTGCAATATATTTTTGCAGTATATATTTAATTTGTTAATTTTAGACCAGCTGGAATTTTTGTTTTTTGAACACGGAAACAATGTAAGTTATTTTTTTTTAAAATAGCAAAAGTTGATTTCGGTTTTACTTACCGTATTGTCACATTCACATAATGGCCACAATGATATCAACTTACGCATCACATTATGACCTTATACATCTTACTTTTCAGTTTTGTGAACGTGCATTGTCACATGAACTGCTCTCTCCTACCGGTGGTCCAAGTGCACCTTACTATGTAGCACTAGCACGTCTAAAATTACAGAAGAAAGAACTTGGTGAAGCTGAGGAAAGTCTACGAGAGGCACTTGTTCTGGATCATCAGGTAATTTATTCTAAGATTCTTTGAAGGTTGATACAAGTGAATGTAATCACGAACTGACTAATCTACAAGGGTGCTTTTCATCTATAAAGTCTGACCAAGAAGGATAAACTGTTGAAACATCACCTCATAAGAGGTGAGGTGGGGGGGGGGGGGTTTACAAGGGTTGTTTGACTTCTGTGTGCAAAGCACATAATGGAGTCTTTGCAGTTAGTGTGTATGTGTGTATGTGGTGTCAATGTTGTGAAGACCTTCATTTAACTTCACACCTACTAAGTGATGCCCCTCACTATTTTCATATTTTATATTAATATTTAATTGAATTTAAGTAAAGTTTGTGTAGATTAGGTTTAGTAAAAGGGGAAGGTATGGTACAATTTATATTAATACTTTACATTTAATCACTTAATTTGCATAAAAATTAGTCAATTTTTGGCTTTTTTTGGCTCTGTAATAGTAGAAATAAACCAATGTCAGTTTATATAAATTGAACCAGCACAGTTGTATTCATTTCTCCATTAAATTGACAAAGCAGAACATGCAGAGCTTTATGTGTTTGAAACATAACAAATTTATGTGTTATTGAATTTCACAGGATCCAGATGCTTGGTCCATTCTTGGTCATCTCCAGTACTTAGTGGGTAATATTGCAGAAGCTAAGGGCTGCTATGAAAGAACATTATCGTTTGTTGCTGATGCACGAGAAATGCACTCCATCTTTCTTAGATTGGCTTCAATCTATCTGCAGGAAGAGAAGGTGAGATAGAAGATTAAAGATCATTTGTGTGTCTTTCCTGAATGGCTATGCAGTCACATCTACAATTGTTTTGTGTTGAATAGAAAGCTGCAGCAGTGCTTTAATCTAGGTGGTACATTCAACGAAATAAATTATTGTCGATTTTATTTTAAAATTATAATATTCTTCATTATTATATTTTAGTATGAAGATGCCAAAAATACTTTCCTACTTGCCTGTAAGAAATCACCATCATGTGTGTCCTGGCTAGGGGTTGGAATTGCTTGTTACAGGGTAAGTTGTGTAATGATGGTAACATGCATACTTATATTACTTGCGTAAGTTACATACACATATTACTGGACTTATTGCATGAGTTGCACACATTGTAATCTTTTTCCACTGCTCTGGTCATGTTTGCTTGCAACTTGCAGACCTGATCCGGTGTTTTGCATTCTCTGTGATGTTCATAAATGTTATCAAATGATACAAAATATGGCTCACTATAGAAAAACTTTAATTTTCAGATTATTGGGAAAACCCAAAAAAACAATTCAACTTTATTAAGGTCTTCACAGGATAATGTCAACTTATCTAAAACATCACAATTTCAGTTTTAGTTTTAAATAGAAAAGGTGTGTAAAATATTGTTGAATCAGTGAATCAATGTCCTCCCCTTAAATGAGCGTCATTTTGTGTAAAGACTATGCACATTGTATTTATAATTGTATCATTTGATGTCTTGCCATAAACACTTTTGTGTGCTACATTTTGTGCATAGCAATCTACTTTTTTCAAAGCCAATAAAAGGTTTCTTCTACTTTCAGTTGGGTGAGCTGTCTGAAGCAGAGGATGCATTATCAGAAGCCAATATTCTAAATAACACAGATGCTGAAGTGTGGGGTTACCTGTCTTTGGTATGCTTGAAAACAGCCAGGCAATTGGAAGCTGAACAAGCTTATAAATATGCTCTTAAAGTGGGTTTACAAGATGAAAATCTTTTGGAAGAAATTCACAATGTGCAAGAAGAAATTGGTTTTGGGAATCCACAATTTTGATTTAGCAAGTGAACAAAGTGATATTATCTACCCCATCCATAGATTATAGAACCACATACTTTTGTATTATAGATCTGTGTTTATTTTGTTGTGCTGATTTGAATCAACTATTTGCGAAATCTCATGCCTAGCAGCCATCTAGTGTTTTAACTGTATTTTCATTTCCAGAACTTGATGTTTATGGATATAGTTATTTCAAAACTAAATGCTATTCCCCAGTTTATATTATTTTTTGGTAAGTTGTATTTCCATAAAATACATGTAATGTTTGTATCTAAAAGAATATTTTTGAAATTGTGTATATATTATAATAATAATAATAAATAGCTCAGTGTATACTTTAACTTTATACTTTCAATAATTTTCATGTGAATAAAATAATAAAAATATTATGCTTACAATGTTTCCCTACTTTCCCTACCCAATATATCAGCATATATGCATGTTTATTATACTACATGCCAGGGGATATAGTGCTTACCACCGCCTCTCTGTAGGTACATACAGAGTCATAAATAAAGAAATTCAACACTCACAACATAAGATGTGAATTGCATGCTGAATTGCATGAGTGTCAAAAACATATACTCACTCCTAATTTAAATTCAACACTCATCATCTCGAAACTCTGCATGTCATACTGTCTTTGTGAAGACATACAACCTGGACATGATTTTCAGATGTTTTATAGAACATAGAAAATGATGAATATTTTTCGGTACTGGGCCCAGTCCGAGGCCCCTAAAGCAAGTTGTTCATGTCCAAATTTATCATTGAATAAATTCAGCTCTAAATTTAGGACTGTCGGCACATACTTTTTTACACTTTTTTTGTCTGTGATTCCATATTTATTGTGGTTCCCTCACCTTGTCTAGTGCATTTGGATTCATCTAAAGACTTTATTGCCCGCCTGCAATCATCATCATCAACTACAATTCAGACTTTCTGATGATGATTTACACCATTTAGCAGTTGGCTTGTTGCAGGTATTCACCAAGTTACCGATGCCTACTGCAACTGCTATTCTGTGGCCCAGTTGCCTGTGTCTGGTCACAATTCTGTCATCAAGTAATCTGCTATTTCTCAACAACTTGATGTCTTTGCGTGATCTAGGCATTTTTGTAACCAGGGTGAATTACTAAGGGTATTTTTCAATGACTTCCACCTCTCTGAGAGTGCAGAACAGCCCAGTTTGGCTTTCCAACATTTAAAGAAATAAGTCTATACAACAGATTTCTTAGGCCTTCTTTCACTGCTGCCCTCATCATTGCCTTCAAATCTGCAGTCAACGTGTGATCGCATAAAGGGAATTAAGCCCTTTGAATAGTATAGTTGTGCTTTTTTCTTTCCCCTTTCTTTTCCCACAAACACCAGTGTAACCATGTTTCAAACACCAGTGTAACCATGTTTCTCCACTCTTGCCAATATGTCCCTAGTGACTCTGGCCAATCTTACTTCCCTCTCAACTGATATATAGAAGATAATATTTGGTAATCGTAGTCCTAAATAACTATTAAAAATAGCTAGACGTTTCGAACAATGGCTCTTTATCGATAGCATAGAAGAAAGTGTTATAACGTACAGGTAGAACATAGGAACGTAAGAACGCACATGAACTATAAGTTAGAATCACAAAAAATTCCACAATAGAACAAATAACGCGCCTTAGGTAGTGAGCTCAACAAATGAGTTGAACTGTTTGTTAATACCATGGGGTTCTTTAGTTCCAAGGCGGAATATAGTTTCCTCCTCGACACGCCTGAGCTGATTTT